CATTTGGTTCAAGGAGAGAGTAGCAACGCTGTGGCAACAGCGGCGTCTGATGTAGTAGCTGAGGATTGTACTATGGAGGAAGCTGATCACGATTCTTACCACAAGCGTGCTAAAGTGTACTCTAGCCTTGCGTGAGCTCTCTGACTCCTTTTTACTTTAATAGAAAGTTTCGATTTTTTATAAATCCTTTTTACTGTCATTTGTTTTGTAGTGAGTGCCGGTCTACTTCGGGGATATCTTTAGACGCTGGAAACTCTGGTTCGTCGGTGGAGAGGAATGTCAGTTTTGGCGTTGCGTCTTCTTCTCGGACGGATACTGATATGTTCTGTCAGAATTTCATCTTGAATTATACTGGTCGGAAAGATGGGAAGAAAGATGATGGAGATGATAACGGTTCTTCGGATGCTGAAGATTTTGAAGTTCATATTGATTTGACTGATGACCTCTTGCATATGGTACTTTTTTTTGTAATTTTCACTTTCTTGATTTGACTAATGACTATTATCATGTTCTTGGTTTTGAATTTTTTTCTCTCTTCAGGTATTCTCGTTCTTGAATCATATTGACCTCTGTCGCTCTGCTATGGTATGTCGTCAGTGGAGAGTAGCTAGTGCTCATGAGGAGTTTTGGAAGGTCTTGAACTTTGAGAATATGAGTATCTCTATCGAGCAATGTAAGTTTGTTTGTAATACATATGTTAATTGGAAGACATTAATATACATAAAATATAACTTTTGGTTGCCATGTGTGCAGTTGAAGACATGTGTCACCGTTATCCCAATGCCACTGAAGTGAATGTTTATGGCGCTCCTGCTGTTAACGCTCTGGCTATGAAAGCAGTTACCACTTTGAGGTATCTGCCTCGAATATGACTTCATAAATTAAGTTATATATATATATATATATATATATATATATATATATATATCCCTATTTACAATGCTTTTCGCCTGTTTCAGGAACCTGGAGGTCTTAATAATAGGAAAAGGTCAGATCAGTGAAAACTTTTTCCAGGCATTGGAGGAGTGTGATATGTTAAGAAGCGTGACTGTAAATGAGGCTATTCTAGGAAATGGTGCTCAGGAAATACACTTGAGTCATGATCGGCTACGTGAACTTAAAATTACAAAGTGCCGAGTTATGCGTTTGTCTCTCAGGTGAAGTTTTCTTTTCAATAAAATTCGTTTTCATTCTTATTCGTTCATGTGTCTAATTCTCAGTTACTATTATATTTTTTCTATCTTTTAGGTGTCCGCAGCTCAGGTCTTTATCATTAAAAAGAAGCAACATGTCACAGGCGATACTTAACTGTCCACTCCTCCAAGTTCTTGATATAGCCTCATGCCATAAGCTCTTGGATGCTGCTATTCGTTCAGCTGCCATTTCGTGTCCTCAGTTAGAGTCGCTCGATGTTTCTAACTGCTCCTGTGTCAGTGATGAAACTTTGCGTGAGATAGCACAGGCTTGTGCTAGTCTCCATATTCTTAATGCCTCATACTGCCCCAACATATCTCTTGAGGTTGGTCCTCTTATCTGATGCTGCTTTTCTACCCCCTTCTGCTGTCTCATACTCGTTTTTCTGACTTGTGTGCCCTTTTTCTTCTTTGAAGTCGGTACATCTCCCCATGTTGACAGTTCTCAAGCTTCATAGCTGTGAGGGTATAACCTCCGCGTCTATGACCTGGATTGCTAATAGTCATGCACTTGAGGTCAGTGATAACTTGTCTTATCCACACCCACATACATCTTTTTCCAGTTGGGTTAATCACATATCTATTGCAGGTTTTGGAGCTTGATAATTGCAATCTGTTGACATCTGTAGCGTTGCATCTCTCTCGTTTGCAGAGTATAAGCCTAGTTCATTGCCGCAAGTATAGTCCTCATCTTTCGTTTACTCTGCAGATTTTATTGTGATGAGTAGTTACGCCTTAAAAAACAATTATTATCGTTTCACATTAACTTCCTCTTTCCGCTGTGTTTAACAGATTCACAGAGCTTAACTTGCAAAGCACCATGCTTTCATCAATCACTGTTTCAAACTGTCCAGCGCTACGCCGAATGACAATCGCTTCCAACTCTCTTCGAGTACGCACTTAGTCGCCATGATTTGTTAATACAGTTTCATTAGTTGAATTTTTTATTTGATTAATAATAATTCTTCATTTTGGTTGCAGCGATTAGCTCTCCAGAAACAGGAGAATCTGACAACATTGGTTCTGCAGTGCCAGTCCTTGCAAGAAGTGGATCTCTCTGATTGTGAATCATTGTCTAACACTGTTTGTGAAATATTTAGTGATGATGGTGGATGTCCAATGCTGAAGTCATTAATTCTTGACAACTGTGAGGTGTGATACATATTCTTAATGCAATGGGTGATAAATTGTTGTTGCTTAACTGATTCTGAATCTTGTATTATCTTGTAGAGCTTAACAGAAGTGCGATTCTGCAATTCATCGTTAGTTACTCTGTCCCTTGTTGGCTGTCGTGCTGTTACTTCTCTTGATTTGAAGTGCCCTCGCATAGAGCAGATATGTTTGGATGGTTGTGACCATCTTGAAACTGCATTCTTCCAGCCTGTGAGTGTTGCTTCTCTCATATCAAATAGCTGACTTTTCTTAACTGATGGATTTTTTCCTTCCCCCTTTTCGTTTGGTAACAGGTTGCGCTCCGGTCTCTAAATTTAGGAATATGCCCGAAGTTGAGTGTGCTCAACATCGAAGCACCTTATATGGTGTCCCTTGAATTGAAAGGTTGCGGTGTACTGTCTGAAGCATCCATCGTTTGTCCTCTATTAACATCTTTAGATGCTTCTTTCTGCGGGTAATTAGATATTTGTTTGTTTTTTTTTTCATTTTCCATGTTTGATTTTATGGTGCTGCTAATCAATTTCCCCCTCATTACCTTTCCAGTCAGCTGACGGATGAGTGTCTGTCTGCAACCACTGCTTCTTGCCCACTAATTGAGTCACTGGTGCTAATGTCATGCCCTTCTATTGGCCCTGATGGCTTGTCTTCCTTAAACGGGCTCCCAAATTTGACTGTTCTTGATTTGTCCTACACTTTCTTGATGAATCTGGAGCCCATCTTCAAGTCATGTACTCAACTGAAGGTAATTAAGACCTTAATATCATATATACATATTCTTGCCATGAGAACTAGAGTTAAGCTGTGCATTCTTTGCGTATTTTTATTGTTTAGGTACTCAAATTACAGGCCTGCAAATATCTCACTGACTCATCATTGGAGCCTCTGTACAAAGAAGGTGCGTTACCGGCACTTGAAGAGTTGGACTTGTCTTATGGAACTCTCTGTCAGACTGCGATAGATGATCTTCTTGCCTACTGCACACACTTGACCCATTTGAGCTTGAATGGCTGTGTTAACATGCATGACCTTGATTGGGGTTCAACCAATGTACAGCTCTTTGATTACTTTGGTGTATACATTTCTAGTGAGAACACACAAGAACCAGCTGAAACAGCCAACCGGTTACTGCAAAACCTCAATTGTGTGGGTTGCCCCAATATCAGAAAAGTGTGTATACCGCCTGCAGCTCGGTTTTATCATTTATCATCACTGAACCTTTCACTATCGGTCAATTTAAAGGAGGTTAATCTCTCCTGTTCCAACCTGGTCTTACTTAATCTAAGGTATGAGAGGATTTACCATTTCTATATTTCTCATCAAAGATTGTTGTTATTCCATTTGCTAATTGAATTTCGAACCAAAATGGATTGTGTAGCAACTGTTGTTCTCTGGAAGTACTGAAGCTTAGCTGTCCAAGATTGGCTAGTCTCTTTCTTCAGGTATGTTTCCTCATAATTGGGTCAGTTTGAGCTAGTTAAATCACTTAAGTTATATGGGTTTATATGTATGTTAAAGATATCCATAGTTCCAGTACTTGTAAAGATGTTATCACTAAATACACTTTGGTACCTTTGTGTATGGTAGTCTTGTAACATGGATGAAGCAGGAGTTGAAGCAGCTATATCAGGATGCTGCTCACTAGAGACACTGGACCTCCGTTTCTGTCCAAAGGTAATGATAGTGAGTGTGTTTACTTTCATATCAAAATCCAGCTAACCATGGATTCATATTAGAGACTTCAGATATTGAAAACCATGTTTTGTTGATTGTCAGATATCCTCAGTGAGCATGGGGAGGTTTCGAACAGTGTGTCCTAGTTTGAAGCGCGTCTTCAGCAGTCCTAATCTTTTGCAAGATTAGTGTATGTTTTGTTATATGCAACTCTTTCTGCAGATTTGTACAAATGCTTTGTTGTGTTGTGTGGTGTGGTGTGGTGTTTGAGATGTAAATGGGTCCAAGCTTTTCAGTAGTGCTTATAGGCCTCTGGGGCAAGCTTTGTGCTATGGCCCTTCTATTTAGTTTGCTTGTGTGAGATTGACACAAACCTAATAACATAAATACTGTACCTATTTTTTTGTATTTGCTTGATTTTATTGTTGCTACTGTTATAAATGTAGTATTCTATTTGATTCATTGATTTTGTTTCAGATTGGGACATTAATAAGCTTCCATATCGGAAAAAAAGCAAAACTTCAGTTGATCATTTTAATCATTTTTTGTTGTTTTTTTTCTGTATGGAAAGCAAAGAAAATGTAGCAACACAAGTGTTTACAAATTACAAAAGAATGAAAAGCCTACAAAAAATGGGTAAAATAAACATAATTAACCATCAGTAATTTTGTTCAATATTTAATGTTATAAAAACTGCTAATTATTGAAATAAATTCTGCGCGTAACACGAATTAAAACCTTAATTATTAATCATCAGTTGTGCGTAAGCATAAATTCTAGAGAAACAAATTAAATTGTTTTTTCAAAGTCGTTTCGTCTTCTTTTTTTGCGAATATGCGATCCGTGAGGGCGGGAAGTCAACCGTTATTTTATTTTTATTTTTATTTTCGTACTTTGTTTTTGCTTGCGGTTTTACTCTAACAAAAAAAAAAATTAATGTACAGTAAATTAATCATCCCCTTCCTCTCTCAATCTCCTTAGGGTTTCAGGTCCTTAATTTGAATTTTGAAAAATTTCTCCTGGTTTTCTCGTTAAAGCTTCATCGCGATTTCATGAGAGATTGACTTCCCAATGGATTTGAATCTACGAAAGGGCGATAAGGTTTGGGTTGAGGATAAGGATTTGGCGTGGATTCCCGGTGATGTCCTCGATTCTTCCGGTAACAAGGTCCACGTCGAGACTTCTACGGGGAAAAAGGTTTTGAATCGATTCTTTTTCGCCGGAGAATTTCTGTTTTTGTCTTCATTCACCTTATTTGTTGCCGCTTTTGGGGGATTTAGGTTTCCGTCGCGCCGGGGAAGCTATTTCGGAGGGATCCTGACGATGAGGAGCATAATGGAGTGGATGATATGACAAAGCTGACTTACTTGCACGAGCCTGGTGTGCTTTACAATCTTCAGAGGAGATATGATCTCAATGATATATACGTTAGTTCTTTTGTTTTTTTTTTCACTCTTGCTTATTTAGAGGTCTTCGTGAGTATAATTGCTGCTTGAATTTTGGTTACTTTATTGAGTTGGATTTCATTCCTTATAGACATTGGTATGACTGTGTACTCAGTGGCCGGAGCTTTCCACTTTTGAACAACTTAGAACTGCCTCTGGAGTTTCTTTTGTATCAATTTTATGGTCTAAGACACGTTTACACATGAAGTTGATTCAGTTTTTTTCGTCCATATTGTCTATGATACTGTGGGTGCCCGTGCCCCAGAGACTTAAGATTTAGCTTTATAACATGCTCTCCTCGGAATTTTTAAGGTATCTGTAAAACTGACCTAAGTGCTCGTGTTTCCGTACTTGAATGGTCTATGTATTTGAGAATACATTTTGTACACCATTTCATATGCGTTAGTGTGTCTGTATCTATGCTCTATCGATCAAATGCCACCTTTGGGAATGAGTAATTACACATTAGGGTAAATATCTTCTTGTTTATTTTAATTTATGGGTGTGTGTCTATGTGATGGGTTCCTCTTATGTTGACTGATAATTGTGATGTGTTATATCATCTAGCTAAAAAGATTGGTTTTTATAAACTGTGTGAACAAGGAATGGATATATCATTGCATTCACTCTTGAAAAACTTGCTTAAATGGTATCCATTTATACTAGAAACATCCTCGTAATCCAACCCCTACTTTAGGTTCCAATATAAGCATTATTTTTTACTTGATAATTAACCTTATAATAATCATGGCCATTTTTTATCAGTTTGTTGGCCAACCGTGTGAGTCATATAGGTTGAATATTCCGTCTATGGAAGGAGATCTTCGTTTCCTTATTTAGTTGACGAAAGTAATTATGTTCTATATGGTTGCAATCAGCTAGATTTCTTTGATGTGAATGCTGGCTTGCCGGTTGTAATATTTTTGTTGCTGCTTGCTTGGTGTCTAATTTGTTTGTCCTTATTGAGATGATACTACGTTCTTGGGACTAATTGTGGTAATAACTCCAGTGTCGTTCTTGTTTCCACTCGTCACTGTCAGTATAATTCACCGTTCCATTCGTAGATTGTTCCTGACATAAGTATCGCTCTATTTCATTTTCAGACATACACTGGAAGCATTCTGATCGCTGTTAATCCATTTAAGAAGCTTCCACATCTCTACGATGCGTACATGATGGAACAGTACAAGGGAGCACCATTCGGTGAGCTCAGTCCTCATGTTTTTGCTGTTTCTGAAGTTGCATACAGGTGGTCCACCCTCATTTCCATATTTGTGCTGACATTCTTACCTGGTATTATCTGTGTTGTTAATCAATTAAACTCAGCTATTTTTCATAATCCAGAGCAATGATTGACGACAGTCGAAGTCAATCTATACTCGTCAGCGGTGAAAGTGGAGCTGGCAAAACTGAGACAACGAAACTAATCATGCAGTATCTTACATTTGTTGGGGGACGTGCAGCTGTAGATGACAGAAGTGTTGAGCAGCAAGTCCTTGAAGTAAGATTTTTCTTACACGTTTTGTATCTTTTATCTTGTTCAATGAGAAGAAAAGAATTAAAAAGAT